GATTTCGGATGCTAGTCCTCCTTCTCCAAGGAAGACGATTGAAGTTGAGGACTATCATGATCCAAGACCTAATCGTCCTACCATATTTCACCCTACAAAGATTTCGGATGCTAGTCCTCATTCTCCAAGGAAGACGATTGAAGTTGAGGACTATCATGATCCAAGACCTAATCGCCCTACAATGCTTCACCCTACAAAAATTCCGAACATTGGCCCTCCTCCACAAGTTTAATGCATGCATATTATCCTTTGTCTCTACCTCAAGCTAGCCAACACTCTATCAAAATTATATGCTTTAGATATACAAGACGCAAATGAAACAACTTTATAAGTGTGTAATCTACATGCATGGAGTTTAACCCTCCCTCCTTAGTGTATGAATAAACCATGCATGGAGTGTTGAAAATTTTCTCTCTTTTTCTCTCAAAGTGTAATACATGCATATATGAAGTTGAAATGTGTAACTCTCTCTAAGTTCTACTTATAATAAGTGTAACTCTCTCACTCTCTCTCTCTCAAGCGTTTAGGTAATACACGCAATTCATGGAGAGTTTGAAACTTAAAATTGAACTAACTATTAATACAAGTGTTGGTTTTGTTGTTTTTCTTCTCATTGACTCAACTCAATTTCTTAAGCCGTTGAAAAATAATATAGTTAGGATGGAAAACTATCTCAAAATTTACACTTTTTGAGTCTCTTGCTTCGGAGATTGTTTGAGAGGTTGAAGAAGATTTTTAGGTGCATTGAATGTACGAGAGGGAACATAAATTTTATATTTCAAATTTTTATTTAACAATTATTAAGGGACAAATAAAATGTTGAATAAGTTGTCTGCTCCTACTAATCAAACATTCTTTTTTAAGGAAAAAAGACAAACATTTGATTGATAGAGTAGGTGAATAACATATTAAAGAATGAAGCTATATAAAAGTGTACCAGTTTAACGAAATGGTAAAATATGAATTGGTAATTGGTACCGAAAGGAATTGATAAATGTTTATTTTCAAGGGATAATGAGAAGAGAAAATTATATATTGGATGATAAAATATTTCACCTATTTTTTAAAATGCAATATTATGTTTTTTATATATTTTAATAAATATTTCGTAAATAATAAATATAAAATTTATTAGTAGTCCTCAAATATTTCGATTACTACTAATAATTGTATGCAAGGTAACATTTGAGAAGAATGCTTTTGTTGGAATATTGTTTTAACTAAAAATTACCTGTTGAAGAGAAGAGATAACGCAGTTAGATACAAACAATTTAATTACGTAATTGGGTTTTTTCTTTTTCTTTTATTTTTTCTTTTTGGCAAAAAAAAAAATCCACCTTGGAACTTTTCATTACTTCCTTAGAACTTTTCATTACTTGTTTCAATTTTTATCTTTAAACTCGTAGGTTCATCAAATTGGAAACTAAACTTGTCACAAAAAAATATTGGATATTAAACTTAGATAAATGTGTTGCAATTTTTACTTTGATGTATTCAATTTTTGATAATTCACCCACAAATTTTAACAAAAATTAGTGTAAAAAAACTGAAAGACTCGTTAATTTAATAAAAGTTAAAGTTTGGTACAAAATTAAGTTTGATTAATATACAAAATCCACGATTAAATAACTCCACCAAATAAATTTAAACAAAAAAAAAAACTTCTTAGATCGTTTTTTTTTTCTTTTCAAAATCATGTTTATAATTTTTTTTTTTATAACCCAGGAGTAGGCGGCCCTTTGGCCTTTATGCCCCTATATCTGGGTATACACACTACTATTCCCATACCCGTTACATACGCAAGGGGTTATTGCTTGTTGGAGTTGCGTTCCATGTGACTTGAATCCAAGACTTGAAAGATATTCCTTGAGGCCCCAAGTCACCCAAATCTTTATAATTTATTAACACATATGAAAATATTTCTTTAACAATTTTTACAACAAAAATTTATCCAAAAGTAAAATTTACCACACTTGTCTAACTTTAAGAGTGCAATATGATGAAACAGAAAGTGTAGAATAAAGAAATTCAAGGTCAAAATCGATCATTTCGTTTTATTTTATTCAGAAACTAAACAAATAAAATTATTAAAACAAATTACCTTTCTGATCCTTAACATTTAGGTAATAGTTATATTTGGTCTATAAATTTCAAACTCATAAACTTATGTTCCTGAGATATAGGAAATGCTTCGTTGATCATAACTTTAGCTTTTTTTTTTCCTTCTTCAACCAACTTATAAGAAAAATGTAGTGACATATTTTATA